CACGCGTGCGCGTGCGCAACAAGGTGCAGCTGCATCCCATGCTGCGCCTGCCCCAGCTCCACTCACTCATTCACCATGGGGCCCTTGATTTCTCCCTCCACCCCTGATTCCCCTTCCCTTCCACCACAACAGACTTACCAGCTGTACACCACTCTCCAGGCTGCCAGGCTGTGCTCCTCACCACCTATGTGCTGCACTGTGGTTGCCCACATGCACGGGACACTTATTGGCCACATTATCGGCCACATCAGGCCCATTTCTGATGCAGTCAATTTTCTTTATATTGCTGCCGATCCAATATTGGACCAATGTATTGGTGCACCTGGACTTCAGCATGACTGGACTTGCAATTATTTAGCCAGCCTTTGTACAATATATTGGGCATTTTGTTTAAAATGCATGATCAGTGTAAATGGTCATGTCTAGGCAGTGGTATTCTGGGATTCATTGATCTAATATTTAATTTAAAGTTCTGTATAAATAATTGGGGTGACAGTGACACATCTTGAGACTTTTGTTACTGATTACAAGTATCCAGTTAAATATCCCTGACTTAGGATTCCAAATTGGATAGGAAGCATGAAAAATGAGTTATTCTAATACTTCATGCCTAATTCTTTAATGCAAGGGTAACATTTCATAATATTATGGCTTACTCTTTAAACTATCTGATCTTTTCCACATAAAAAGTATCTATCAAATTAAATGATTTTGCTTGGGGACTAGAATTACCTGTTTAAAAAGTGTTAGATTATTAGTTGATTCACTTAACTGATTTTGTTACAGATCAGCTGACCTTAGACGATGTAGAGAAGTCTCTTAATGATGATATGAAACGCATCATTCCTTGGCTCCAGCAGCTCAAGTAAGTGGCTTCAGATTATTTGATTTACTTACTGGACACATCTACACAAGGTGCTTTACTGTGTGGTAGATTAACCTACTGTCCAGTAAAGCATCACTGTCTACAAGTGCAACATTTACTGTGCAGTAAATTAGTCTACTGTGTGGTTGGCTACTACCTGCCTCTACACGTACTAAATTAACTGCACAGCAGCTACTGCATAGTAGTGTACCTGTAGTCAGCTGATTGGGAGCAATATGCTTCTGGTCAGCCCAGGCAGCAGTGGGTGGAGTAGTGGTGTCCATGTGTGTGTGTCATTTCCCCCCCACCCTCACAGATTCCCAGCCCCAGTCAGCTGACTGGGTTATGGGCTGGGAGTAGCTGCTATGGGGAGGAAACAGTTTCCCAGCTCTGGAAGCAGGTCATTTCCCCCCAGACCTAACTGTCCTATACCAGAGCTGGCACCTGAGGAAGCCTGGAACTCCCCCAGCTGCTGTAGGTAGGGTGAGCAGGGCAAGAGTAGCCCTGCACTGAACTCTCATTGGGAGCAAATTTGCTCCCGACAGGTGCATGTGTAGATGCACTCCTGGAGAAGTTTTATTGTGCCTTATTTTACTGCGTAGTAAGCTTACAGCACATTAATAACATGTGTAGACATGCCCACTGTGATTTAGCATGCTTATGGTTTGGATGAGCACATTGATATCTTTGTGGCATTTAGGTATTCTTTTCTCATCCCAAATAATTTTGGATGCTTTTTGTCATCTCTGGGTGAGCAAAGCAATGTAAACTTCTCTGTCCCTTTGCTGGGTTGCTTTAATTCCAGTCAGTCTACAAGTCCTTTGCCCCCATGGTGTTACCAAGGAAGTATAGGTGCCTTCATAATGTGCTCTGGAGGAAATCCAGTCCCATCTGATTTCAAAGGGATTTTGGTTGCAGACTTCAGTGGGGCCTGGTTTCATCTTGGGTACATGCCCACACACACACAGCTTTACCGGATCCCATTTTCTTCAAGCCACTCCATACTTTCAGACCTGCCAGGAGGATTGAATCTGTGTGCAAGTTCCTTTTGCTATAAAAAGGTCCACACGCTGTTGGTAGAACTGGGAAACTATCGTAGCTGAAGGAATTGCAGTCCTTGCCATAGCTATTGTCGATCTTAAAACAGCCATTAAGAAGTGATAGCCTTGCCCTTGGGTATTATTGACTCAACTCAGCAATGCTGAGCATCCATCGGACCTGGAAACTTGGCACTTCTGAAAATCAAGCGCTGTCTCTGACTCATCAGGTTGGTCTGTGGTTCATCATGCTTCTGCAACCAGAATGTAGTTGGACATATCTCAAATATAAGTCTGAACATCAGCATAAATCTTGTATAGAATTCTGTGTGGGTGTCAACAGTTCAGTCTGTATGGGTGTTCTGCAGTTCTAAGTATAAGTTCATATAAATGAACTTATGCTATTTAATAGCAAGCACCCAGGAAGTAGAAGAATGACCCCATGTTGTTCAAAACTAGTAATGCAGCTCCCCAGAATACAAGTTATACTTTTTCTGTAGTAAAAAGATTAAGTCCCAGTAAAACTGAAGGGACAAAACCCCCCCAAACTTGCAACCTTTTGAGTTCACAAAGGTGTCTCCCAGTTTTGTAATACAGGAGATGGCTCTTAAAATCACAGTGAATGCAGTCTTTTTAAATGCTTTCATTTAAAATACTAGAAGAAACTTCAAAACAGTAGGAGCCTAAAAGTGAAATGGACTGTATTACAAAACTTACAAGTACTGGTTGCCTAAGCTGAGTGAGATGATGTAAACATAAACAGTGATAGGATATTAAAAGCTCAATTTGTGTTTGGGGTAATTATCATACCATGGGTAATATTTATATAGAATATGATTTTTAATTTGACAGTGGCAGTGCCAGATCTAATGTTTTGGAGTGTTTAATACATAAAGTGCTAATGTTTTTCTTTCAACATAAGGTTCTGGCTTGGACAACAGCGTTGCAAACAGTCTATAAAACATCTGCCCACAGTAAGCAGTGAAACATTACAGCTAGCTAATTATGCTAGTCATCCAGTGGGAAGCCTTTCCAAGCACAAACTGTTTATCAAACTCACTCGCCTTCCACAGTACTACATTGTAAGTAATTGAGAAACATTTCTGTACTCTTCCTAAGGATGAAAATTTAACATGCTAACTCTTCTAGTAAACACATCATCCTAGACTACCTGCTAATGATGACTGCTTAATATTACTGTTTATTCACCTTCCAGGTTTTATTAAAAAGTCTTGTTTGCCTGACCTCTGCTTGTATGCCTCTTCTTTTTGTCACTTAAGCTTTTCAGTTGTCTTTGTATAAACTGGCATCCCTTCCCTTCCTACAGCAGTGCATATTTTTGTGGGGGGGAACATAGGCAGGCACTAATGCATTGTAACATTTAAAGGTTTTCTTAATGAGTTGCCTTGTTTTAAACACAGGTGGTTGAGATGTTTGACGTTCCTGGCAACCCCACAGAATTAGAGTACAAATATCACTTTCTCTCTGTGAGCTGTGCTGAAGGAGATGACAGCCCTGCTACTGCACTTTTACTACAGCAATTCAAACCAAACATTGAGGAGTTAGTACTAGACACAAAAAGTGGGAAGCAAGCAAAAAGTGGTGCCAAGCGCAAGGTATGCACAGCCATATGCCAACAGGCACTGAGCTTGTGTTTCTCTTTCCTATCTTAGTAGTGTTTGACTACAGATAAAACTCCTGAACATCAAAAAAGATTACTTTGTTCCAGTTCAGACTTAACTGCATATTGTAAAATTGCAAACAGCTTTTGTAAAGGCACACTTGAAATGTCACATAGTTGGTATCTTGCAATGATTAGGGCTTTATCTACATAAGGAAATTAACTAGGACAGCTCCTGAGAAATGAGCTGTTCAGAATTAACTGTTGTGTTTTTAAATTCATACCATTTCTTTTTCTGGAATAACTTTCCAGTTGTTGGTATATTGAAAGCAGTGTTCCCATATGTGTGAACTGCTGAAACAAGGAGAGATGAAGTTGATGGTCTTGAGTCATTGTTAAGACAGGGTAGGGATGCACCTTATACACAGACTAAATCAGATGCATAAGCTTTTGTGAATCTGAACTTACTTCATCAGATACTGTTAGTTTTAACATACTTTTTCATGCCTCCTTAGTTCAAATAAAGACTAGACTAATTTAAGACAGCCTTAATTCTTAATATTAGAAATGCTAACAGTCATTAACTTTCATTCACTAGGATCTAGTAACTCCCCAAATCACACCTTTCAAATGTATAAAACCTTGACCATTTGCATTTTTAAGTAGCCCTTGCCTACGCTGCCTGATTCTTAGTTTCAGCTGAGTAGGTGTAGAAAACATTAATAAGCAGGTATTTTAAATAGTGATAATAAATAGGAAGACTTGGTGTGGCTGATCTTCTGCAGTACAAACAAAGCAAAAGCTGAATGACTCTATGAAAGCTAACAAACATCAAGGGTCTATGGGTAGTTTTAGACTTTATACTACTGTGTTTGGATGTAAAATTTCATAGTATGGAAGTATGTTTATCCTTTTGCACAGAATTATTAATGAAAATGTTAACTTTAAGAAACTGATCCTGTAATGAGGTTCTGTTAGGCCATGGTGGGCAGTGCCTCCCCCATTGAAATTAGTAAGAGAACTGGAACAAAGCATGTGTAATGTTCAATGAGGGAGCAGAACCTAAACATTTAGTATTCAGTTCTTGACTGTGACTGTTAAGAATGTTCCTAGGCCTCACATTTAAAAGTGTGTTTCACATATTTAAAAGCATCAGGAATGATCATCCTGATTTACTTGTTGCAAATATTGCCAAGTAACTGTTTTTCAGATTTATTTTTTTTAAAGAAAGGCTTTTATATATCATCATATTTTGGCAATTCTGGAGCCTTTCTTCGTCCAAAAAAATCAGAATGTTTTGTGCATTTTCAATGGCTTTTTTCGGTCAAAATTTATCGGCTGTTTTTAAATGTTTAAAAATTATTTTTAGATGATGATTCAGTGTCTTGAAATAGTGTTGCACTTGTTAGGTGGGGGTCTGCTCAAAATCAGGTTTTCATGTTTCACATATGATGCAGTGAGAAGGATGACTTGAAAGAAGGGGGCGGTTAGTGGGAAGGTAGCATCAATAAAATTATTTCAGTGAAAGGTTTTCTCTCTTCTGATGTGCACTGCAGCTTTATTTTAATGAAATAAAATGAATACGTAGATGTAGGTGGCACATTTCCTGAAGACTGCGTGGACTATGTGAGTCATCAGTTGTAGGACACTTTTGAGGAGGTGACCTAGAAACTGTATGCAGTTCACGTGATCCATAGTGCAATTTTAATGCTATGGCTGGAAGCAGTCTTGTGGAGGGACACACTAAACTTGTTCACACAAGGAAGGTTTAGTTAAGGTAAAACTTGTTTTGGTGGAGAGAGAAAATTATACGTTGGTTGTAAATGAAATGAAATAAGTCCATCATGTAATGAAGAGTCCTTCACTGTAGCCATGTGTGTACCTATTTAATAACTAGATCAAGCATCCCTTTGAAAGTAAGGTGTTGATGTTCTTAATCCAAAGGGGACTTTTGCGTATCATCTGTCTTTATTTGAATTCCAGTTGTCTGGTGATCCCTGCTCTATAGAACCTAAGAAACCAAAACGATCAGGAGAAATGTGTGCCTTCAATAAAGTGCTAGCTCATATTGTAGCCATGTGTGATACAAACATGCCATTTATAGGACTTCGTATAGAGGTAAGTGTTTGAAATTAAAACAATTTTGGTTCCTTTGTCTAAGTAACTGACTAATTGTATTTGGGGGCATGTGCTGATATGTCTTCTCATTTGTCCTGCAAAATGCTCACTTCGTATAGTCCCATTTGTCATCCATTCTAAATGTAAGGCTGGTACATGAGCCAACTGAGGTTAGGCAGCTGATGTCATTTACTCAGGTTGCATCTGACTTCCTGCTGATAAGGCCTGAGGAGGGCACTAGAAAAGTAGAAGCAAGGAAAGGGGAGATTAAGTAGGAGAGTCCTTATGTACATCTTTAAAGCCCAGTATTCTCAATTTTCTAGTGTTGCAGAAGTTTTCTCTTTGCATGCTGTCTCTTGCCAGGAAAGATTCAATTTCTTATCCATGATTATGCTTGAATAACTTAATTTGATCTCTCTTTCTTTTTTTAAATTTGTAGTTGTCTAACATGGACATTCCACACCAAGGACTACAGGTAGAAGGAGATGGCTTCAGCCATGCTATACGTTTATTGAAGTAAGATATGCTTGTATACTTTCCTTTATTAAGCATGTGTACAGTAATAGGCAAAAGGGGCACTTAGAAGTGTTTGACACCCTAGAACATGAAAAATATTTTGTTTTTAAACAGTGGTTTTCTCCTTCATCTCCAGTTTTATATAATGCAGTGCTGGGGAGAGAACAGGATTTATCATGGGCATGCCTGATATACATTTAGAGAGAGAGAGCTCCTAATGCAGCAGCTCGTGCTACTATAGTAGGAGAAACTGCCATTCTGTTTTGGTTGTATCCTACATCCCATATTTATCAGTCTGCTAGAGCAGGACTAGGAGTTGGCACACCGAATGCTGACTGTGGGGCCTGACGACCCACCTCTGGCAGCAGAGCAAGCAGCAGTGACATTAACCCTCACATGTTAACTGTGCTGCCACTGCTTGCTCTGCTACCAGAAGGTGTCCCCAGCAGGGATCTGTTACCCAGATTTACAAGTAACCTTATAGGTAAGCTATTGATGAAAAGGCAGAAATAAGTCTATAACTCTATCTTTTATTTACTTGCACTTTAAAATCATGAAAACAAACATTTATCCCAAAGTCTGGCTACCTGTGAAAGCACAACATGGCTTCTCACCTGTAGTGGCTGGGGAGACTTGAGATGGTTGGAGGGTGGCACGTAGGTTAGCAGCAGGTCTTGAATTTGCTGAGTTCTTCAAATTTCCCACAAGCCTATGCCCAATATTTATTGATGGATGGTTTTAATAGTCTAATAAATTATCTGTGATTCGGTTTTATTTAAATTTCTTTGTTTCACTGAAACTTTTTGAACTGGACTGAACCAGGTCTCTTGTGGACTTGGAAGGTGTTGATTATTTGGGATTTATATCCTTAAGAGAGAGGGAGGGCTTCTTATCTCCTTTCCTTCCCCATTGTGGAATGCTGTTCCTGTTTCTTCTTTGCCTTACTTTATGGTCTTCTGTAACTAACAACAAAAACAGCCTTGTCACAAATTATCTAAGCATTTTAACAAAAATATATCTATTATTGCAAAATAACATCTAATAATTTTGTTACATCAATCACTACTACTACTACTAGTACTACTACTATTTTAAGATAAAGCTGTGATGTAGTATATATGGATTATTTAATGTATGGTCTTCCTTTATCTCCTTTCAAGCCTTCTGCTTTGTTTAAATAATGTTTGGTTTCCTTTTACTTGCTGATCAAGTTAGTTGCGACTTCTGCAAGTTAGTGGTCACATTATGGTCATTCAGAAATAAGCTTTGGGGACTTTGGCTTAGCTTAGTATAGGCCCCTTGAAATGGCCAAGGCTGGCAACAGATCTCAACCTGGAAATTCTGTAGTGGGGCAAGTGGCAATTGCATTAAACCCCCTACCCCAGCCCCGGTCTGCTAATAAAGTGGTTCTGGCAGCAGCAAGGGTTCAAGCCATCACTGTTTGCCCTGCCACAGAATTTCTAGCTCGGCACACCATGATGTAGGTACTCATGGGCCACATATTGTCTGCAGGCTGCCATTTAGACAGCCCTGTACTAGAGACTCAGCTCTAGGAGTTTTATGGCCTTTTTTTCAGAAGGCAGTGTAGATTTGCACCTTACAGACTAAATGAAGTGGAGCCCTAGCCTGCCTGACTTCAGACTAAAGTAGCAAACTACCTCCCTTTCTCCAGGCCATTAGATTTAACTAATGTATAAAGCCAGTTGTTTGTATCAGGTTGCTTCTGTTAGGTCAAAACTAATTAGAGTCCCTGCATCTGAATCATACTTTCTATGTGTGTCTTTTTTTACAGGTTGTACCATTTTTCATATCTTGGGGGCAAGCAGAACTTGATTTTTTTCTTTCAAGAAATGGAAGAAAAATGAAAGTTCCATAGAAAACAGCAATTTCCATTCTCCATAATTCACCCCAACTCATCTGCCCTCAAGCAAAGATCTGAGCACTCCAACAGAGTGCCTGGTACTGTGCCCAGGAAGCCGGCAGATTTGGAGAGAGGTTTTAAAGACCCATGGAGGAAATAAATTCCAAATTTGAGCACCTGTCACTGAAAATAGTTGCCAGTAGCTTCTGGTCTTAAAACCCAGCTACTGCTAGTTTAGGTGCCTTTATATGAGCTGACCTACAGCGATAGCTTGTGGGGAGACGGAAGCCATGAATACAGGAATTGAAAGATTGGGTCAGTTAAGAGACCAATTCATTTTCTTATTCTGTTCCTAATAATGGCCACTAACAGCTGCTTTAGGGGAGATGTAAAGAACCCTGTAGAGGACCCTGTAATTAGCTGTTGGCAAGAGGGAGTTTCTTTCCAAGCCCTATCAATTATTGCGTGGCTTATGCCCTGAAGCAGAAGGATTTATATTGATCTTAAAATATACTTTTTAAATGTATCATTTCATATTTTTGCAAAGAGAAATATGCATGCTTATATAGTTGCATTGTTATTGCTTTAATTATATCTGTTTGGAAACTTTAGACAAAACCTCATGAGCTAAGATTTCACGAGCCAGATTTCAAGGTGATACGTGACTTGCAAAGCCTCAAAGCAAGCTTGCAAAGGGATTGTGAATTTAAGGAGCAAGCTGAGGAGTTGGTAAAGAAAGGTCTCTTTCATCCGCTCAAGCTCTCTTTTGAACTTTCTCCTCAGTATTTGATATATGAATAAGCTATTGGGAATTAGAATATTGGCCACGTTTTTGTTGCATTTGGAATGCATGCTTATTCTAAAGGGGGACTGGACTGCAGTTGGAGGCCTCTAGGAAGACATTACCTCATTTTAACTTGCTGCCTTAAAGAAGACTTGCATCAATATGCATTGTCCTGGAAGGCTAGATTGAGCTTTTGATTTGCAAGCAGGTTTGGTGTCAAACCCACATAAATCTTGGTCCTCTCATCTGACAGTGTTTAGTATTTTCTTTATAATTTCCTTGTAGTGTAAGGTCCAATTTTGATGTAGCTCTTGAAAGAAAACAAAATACTTGGCTGTGTTTCTTTATTCCAGCTGTCTTCCATGTGTTGCTCTGCAAAGTATTTCTTTCAAGTCACATTGTTTAAAAGTGCTTCAGAAGAAGTTTTGGGTTTTTTTTAAATCAGGTAATACTTGTGCAGTTGTACAGTTGGAACATGTGTAATTGAATTTTTTCCCCCCTCCTGGACAGAATTCCTCCCTGTAAGGGTGTAAGTGAGGAAACCCAGAAGGCTCTAGACCGTTCTCTTCTTGATTGCACTTTCCGATTACAAGGTAGAAATAACCGCACGTGGGTGGCTGAGCTGGTATTTGCAAACTGTCCACTTAGCAGCACTACTTCCAGGGAGCAAGGTGGGTTAATGGGAAATCCTTATGTAGACTTCAGTCCTTTTTTTCTCTATAGTACTTGATACTGACCCTTCTGCTAACACTGCAGGACCAACACGTCATGTTTACCTGACTTATGAAAACCAATTATCTGAACCAGTTGGGGGTCGCAAAGTTGTTGAGATGTTCCTCAATGATTGGAACAGTATTGCTAGACTATATGAATGTGTGCTGGAGTTCGCACGATCCTTACCAGGTATGATGATACTCCTTCCACACCCTCCATACATCCTATTTTTTACATCTGTTACTTATGTATAAAAGTATGTAAAATAGTCTCACCCTTTTCTTTTTTTCTTCTTTCCTCCTCCTGTCAAAAGACATACCCAATCACCTAAATGTTTTCTCAGAGGTCCGTGTCTACAACTACCGCAAGCTCATCCTTTGCTATGGAAGTACCAAGGGAAGCTCAGTAAGTAACTTCTTAATATGTTTCTAAAGTTCCATTTGGAAATGGGAAAGACATAAGTTTTTAGAGTTTGTGAAACTTATTAAAACAGGAGTGATTTTGACAAAGAGAAGCTAGAAATATAAGATTAATAGACCATTATTAACTTGCTAGATAGTATAGGGATCTGAGAACTTTGCATAATTTACTGTTAATCACAAGAAAAACAAGTTGGCCTGGAATGTGACTTAAGAAAATTGAAAGCTCTGATTGAACTTCTGAAACATTTCTACATTATTAATCTGAAGCAAATCCAATGAATTATTTCTCCATCATATTATGGACTGTTCAAAACCGTGGAGAACTGACGAAAATAAGTGAGCTTTTAGGAACGTTTCCTGTACAGTATTATAATGGCAAGCTAAAATCACTTAATAGCAGGCTGGGTTTGCTTCTGCTAAAACTCCCTCTGTTCATTAGACTGACCCATCAGCATCTGCGTGTGTTTGTAGATGGCACATCAGACCCAACAATCCATTGATTTACTAGTGTGATGAAATGACCAGCCTTTTGAGTTTGGTTCCCTGTCCTCACCCCTTTATAGTCCAAACCTGTTACGTTCCAATTTACTAAGCAAATAATCTGCCTTATTTTTCTGTGCATCTTTACCCCTCACTCACAAACTTACCAAATTTGTGTTCAGAATACTAAGCACTTTTACATGACACTTTTTGGCTTCATTTACTATGTTCTTTTTGAATCGTGTAATGTCATCTGTTTTCAGTTTTAATTCAGTTATTTTATTCACTGATAAATTTAAGATTTTTTTTCTTCCTTGGTGCTGTAGATCAGTATTCAGTGGAATTCAGTACTTCAAAAATTTCACATTTCATTGGGAACAGTTGGCCCTAACTCAGGTTGCAGTAACTGTCATAATACAATTCTGCATCAGCTCCAGGAGATGTTCAATAAAACACCAAATGTGATACAGCTATTGCAGGTAACTATTTTTTTTTCTTTTGACACGAAATAATTTTGTGGGGTGCAAGGAAATGTAGGATAATTATGGGCTGTGATTTGATGGCTGAATACCTCTTTCGAGGGTATTGGCATCTGCCTTTAAACCACTGATGGTTTGTGTTTGAAGAAAAGTGGGGTGTGGGGTGGGGTGGGTCTTGTTTATCCTCCCAAGAGTTGACTTCCTTCTGACTTCCTTCAAAGATTGATTTTTTTTTTTTTTTTTGGAAGTTAATTGATCTTTCAACTTTTATTCTGTTACAGGTGTTGTTTGATACACAAGCTCCATTAAATGCCATCAACAAACTTCCGACAGTGCCCATGCTGGGTCTGACTCAACGTACAAATACTGCCTATCAGTGCTTCTCAATTCTGCCACAGTCACCCACACACATCAGGCTGGCTTTTAGGAACATGTATTGTATTGACATCTACTGCCGGAGCCGCGGGGTGGTAGCAATACGTGATGGAGCCTATAGTCTTTTTGACAACAGCAAAATAGTGGAAGGCTTTTACCCTGCCCCAGGACTAAAGGTAACTGCTCCTGTGTTTTTTGGCATAGAATCCTACATTATTTTAGCATGACTTCAACACTGAAGGCTGAGACGAGCTTTTTACTGAAAGAAGGGATATAACCAATTTCTTTGGGGGTGGGTTGTAGCATACATAAAATGAATTTTCTGATTTTTAAGTATTTGATGCTGGGTGCTAGCTTTTTTGCAGGAAGCAGACTGTTTCACTCCCCTGAATAATTTCAGCAGAATAATGGAAACACTTTAGGTTTCTCTTTGTAGCTTATGTTGGCTGAAATCTTGGGTAGAGGTGACACTGTCTTTAGGCTGAACGGTAATTTTCTTCACTTTTTCATAGCTAAGCTTAGTTTGTCTTTCCCTATGAAGAAGGAAACAGTCATTTTTAAATAGTTTTATGTAGAAATGACTTCTTAAAGTGGCACAGGTCTCCCATTGGTCTGAATGGATGCTTGTACATGTGACGGGGGTTTAGTTATCCCTAAATTGAAACGGTGGGTTTTTAATTGTGCCGTTTTAAAAGCCCACCATTGCAATTTAGCAACTTCCATGACATCACATGATGTCAGAGTGCATCATGCTGTCCACCACAATGGTGGCATCCCTCAGGAGGCACCTGCCTGCTAGCACCTGGGAGGTGCTGCCACCACAGAGCAGTTGTACTCGTTTGAGCAATTGTACTCTTATACAAATGTGTCTAAAAGTATAACCCTTATGTGCAGTAGATGATTATCCTTAAATTGGTATTAACCTTTTTTCAGTTAAGCATTTGATGTATTTAATGGCTAATTTTATATGTACCTCTTTTTATTGACATTTTAATTTGTAGCAGAAGTCTCTCTATACTCACATTGTAACTATGGGGATATTTGTTTCCTAACAAAACTGAATATATCCACAGACATTCCTGAACATGTTTGTTGACAGTAATCAGGACGCACGGAGACGATCTGTAAATGAGGATGATAATCCACCTTCTCCTATTGGGGGAGATATGATGGATTCATTGATATCACAGCTTCAACCACAACAAGCACCGCAGCAACAGCAGCAGCAGGTAGTATCCAGGCAAAAAAAACAACAACCCAAAAAACTTGCTCTCTGTTTTCTAAAATTTGGGAGAAAATTGTAGATGTCTTGCACCCCTTAGAAGTAGCCACAACAATTGAGAGGTATAAAACTATTCTGCCCTTGAATTACCCTTGGAAAACTTGTATCATATGCAAAATATGGGCTTGCTTTTACATAGCTGTCTAAACAGAATGTGATGACAGATGGGGAGCAGTTCTAGAGCCACATATGACTTTTGACTGGAAGCAATAAAATAAAGTGGGGAGTATCTTATTGTTTTGGAGAGAAGATTGTGATTGGGGATATTCAGGACCTCTTTTTGTGAGGGTACGGGTAAGAAAAGAGGGTAAGAAATATAAAGTTTAGGAGTGCACTGATAGAGATTTTGGGGTCTGATAGTTGATTTTTAAGGAGGCGTATTGGCCAATACCAGTCCGATTTCTGGGAACTTGGAAGAGCTGCATCCAGTTGGCAAGTCTTGTGGTGGAAGAGGAGGGGGGAGGGAAAGGGCATGGGGTGATGGCGAAATACTAGAAGAAAGATGAGAGGGCAAATGAAAAGCATATTCTCCTCCTAAAGAAAGCATAGAAAGTGCATCTGATCACCAAAAAAGAAT